TAGGGTTAAAACACATTATAATGACAAGCCAATTAGAATCATGATAGGGCCTTTAAATATTTTGCGTTTACCAGTTTAAGGTTGTGGAGATTGTTGAGTTTAGATTGATATCATGAATGGACCAATGTTAGAAGCACTGAATGGCAGTTTTATGCCAGTATGAGACTACTCTTCAGTGCGAATTCATGATCCTACATGCAGGATTCGAACTTATAAACTTCAGTTTCATTCAGACATTTAACAGCTAGTCCATTCAACCAGTGCACGATGTTTTAATGGATAAAACAGATTATTTCAATGAAACTAAACTCGATGGATGTTTAGTGATCCTGGCTAATCTCAAATAATTAGCAACAATTTCCATGAAAATATAAAGGTAGAGAAGTGACTGAATAATTCTCGTAAAGAACTGAAATACTCTAGAACAATTACTCTAACCATTCATGGTTCGGTTATACCTATTGGATTGGACACAGCACAACCTTATGATTTATTCAAAGTTTACAAGTCACTGAATCCTCTTCACCATGTTTCAGGTATGTATAATTCTCCATACTATCAGACTGTTAAGTGTCTGGGACTAATCCTAGAAACTCTACTTTTACGTGTTAGTTACAGAAATATTAAAGATGTTTTCCGTTTCATTTCAAAGACGGAATACATAAATTTGTATGAGTTGCATTTGATAACTTAACATACCGCTTCCTAGTTTATTATTGTACTATAAACTAAGACATTTAAATTTGCATACCAACAACTACCTGGAAAACATATCAATATTGGAATTCCTGAGGTTAGTCTCAAAGAATCGCCTTTAGAATGCAAAATGAACATTCGTTCTGTCCTTAATAAGACATATTGTAGACAAATTAATGCAACAGTAATGGGTCCACTTTATAAGTCCCTAACATAGTTGATTTTCTTTCTCATTAAATTAGAATATTAACCTAATAAAGGGGTTTTTTGATAAGTTTGACTCCAGGTGTCCTTACATTGATGACTCGTTTCATATTGTAGATTAAAATATTTAGATAGATAAATTTCTCGGACAATTTAACAGTATATATTCAGTAATCAGATTTATTTTTGTCGAATGGAGCTTGATAACAACTTCTCCAGAGATTTGTTAAACCGAAAAGAAAACAGTCTGTCAATAGAAACAAGTATAGAAAGAGTTCATCTACATGTCAGTACACAAATTTCTGTAGCCTAGTACCCATTTGTCACAAGTTTAATCCAGTTAGATGCCTTTCATGTACAACTTGGAATATGTGTTCAGGCGACATCATACACAAGAAAGCGGAATTTATCAGCTTTTCATTTTCCCTTCAGGATTCCAAGTTAGCGCTTGTCTCATGGCTCAGTTTAGTCATAATAATAATAATAATAATAATAATAATAATAATAATAATAATATTTCTTTCCATAATGTTTGAGCGTCTTTTTAAATTTACCCTTCTATCGTATTCATTCTTCACCATTTAATTATTTGCACACTTTCTATTCCGTAATTTACTGTTTATTTCTTCAACTCTTGACCTATATCTTATGGTTGAAACATTATTTTAAGCTTTTATTATTCTTATCACTACTGGTACACATGTGAAGTGTGCTACCTTATTTGGTAGATATAAATAGATAACATTATCAATCGGAAAGAAATGGCTGTGAGCAGAGGAATGAGGCGGCCGAAATGAGGAGAAAGAAAACTAAAAGTAATCAAGATAACAATAGGAATGAAGGGACAATGAAGTTTGATAGAGATATTTGATAGAAAATGTGTAGATGATGTATTAATGTATTGGTTTCATATTTTATGAGGACACTCTGTAATTTTGTATTAAACGATAAATTGCTTATCCCTACCTAAATGCTTGTTCTCTTCACACATACTAATCATTCTGTATTTCTCATTTATTATGCATTATTATCAGAATGGATTTTGTGGAGATTTTTAGAAATTTCACTGGTTGAAATCATGAGTCAATTGAAGCTAGATCACCGTAGAAAACCTGGAAGCACTGGACGGCCACTTCAATTGACTCATGATTTCAACCAGTGAAATTTCTAAAAATCTCTACAAAACTTCTTCTGATAATAGTCATCTGTTCACTGGTGACTGACTTCAAGAGGTATTTCTTGGAGTTCTAATGAGAAGCCGTGACCATTAGAGTTCAAACAGGTTTGTTGTGAGATAGTAACTCACTGAAGATAATGGTGTACGGTGGCGCAACTTCGTGGATTGGTTGAAGTTAGATATTAACACCGTTGGATGCCCGCTCAGCGGACTAGTTGGTTAAGTGCCTGGCGCGAGACTGATAGGTACTGGGTTCGAACCTCGCGGGGGGCGGGTTCGAGGATGCGTACTAATGAGGAATCCCATACTGAGGCGAAACAGCCGTCCAGTGCTTTCAGGTTTTCCATGATGGTTTAGCTTCAATTGACTCATGATTTCAACCAGTGAATTTTATTATACAATCAATTTTAATTGTTATCGACTTAATATTTTTCATAAATGAATATAAATACTACCAGGTGATAAGATTGTAAAGCTTGACAAAACGATTGGGTTGAGAACATAGTATTTTTTATGTTTTTATTTTAATTTACATTTGGAATTTCTAATATTTAGAGCAAAATAGTATAACTCGATTGTGATTGGCCATGAACGGAATCTAAACACCATTTTGAGATCCCATAATGCTTGCACCCTCGGAGACTCTTTGATAAACACAATGTCGAAGGTCAATTATTTTGGTGTCACCTTTTCCTCTGATCTGTCTTGGTCTTCTCAAGTTTTATTGTTATCAAAGAAGGTTTTCCATCTGACCTACTACATAAAGAGATTGCATGCTCTTGGGATTGCTCGTCATTTATTCTTACAATTTGTCAATTCTTGCATATTACCTATTATTCTTTACTATTCTCTGTTATTCTTTCCCGGGCTTTTGAGAAAAGACTTTGCTGTATTGCGGAGAGTGCTGAAGGCAGTTAGGAAGATGTGTGGTGAATCTTTCGAGGTCATAATTAATATGGTTGTCAACAGACATCTAATGTCATGCAAACTCCTGGCAGGTGTTATTTTATCAGATACTAGCCATCCCCTTCACTCTTATCTTTCTCCTTGTATATCTTCTGGTAGAACGAGACGTAATTACATTAAAATCCATGCACGCAAGCAAAAGTATAAAAGTTCTATAATACCTTACCTAGCAAAGATACTCTGTGACGAACAGGTTGTTAGAGTTAACCTAGTCAATAACTTGCATTCTTAACATGTCCTTAATTTTAAAAGTTGTACAGTTTTTCGGTTTTTTTCTTCTTTTTTTAAAAAAAACATTTCTCTTTTTTTGTATTCGTTACTGTGTTTTTTTTTGTTGCGTAAGTAACTTGTTGAAATAACCTGTGCTGAGAATTCTATATTGTACCGAAACTATAATGTTGAATAAAGCCATTAATAATAATAATAACAATAATAATAATAGGAAGGTCTAATAATTATTGGTCACTACAATACACCTTTTTGATTGGTCGTAAACCAACTAATGAACTGAGTTGCAATATGTATATAGTTGGGAATGTGTAATTGTTTTTGAAATGTTTGCATATCGTCACTTTTGTTGCTAAGGTCAGGTTTATTTGAATTCCCAAGGAATTTGTGACCTTGCATTGATGATTAATCAATAGTATTTCCTACAATTACATAATTTTATGTCTTCCTAATTATATAGTGAGTATACTGAATATAACATGTATTAAGACTGATCATTTGAAAGGTTACATACTGAACCATGACCAAGTTGCTGCTATTTTCTCAGTAATTAATTAGAGAGGCAGTGAATGAAGTGTTTACAGAATAATGTGATGAAAGCAGTTAAAATAAAAAATAGTGAATCTATAGTACTTCAAGTAAATAAAAAATCGGAATCAGTCTTAAAACATGTTGATACATTGAATAGCATAGGACCGATCGGATGCTGTCTTAAACTCATACTCTAAGTTAGATATTGTAATGGTTTATCTTCGAGATAATTCCTAAGAATTCGTGTATTAGTCGCCCTGATAACCGTCATTAAATAAATCCTAACGATGTATAAATTTCAGAAAACAATTCGAAACGTCACCTACAGTTTATTATTGAACATTGGAGAGCACTAAAGCACAAGAACTTAGAGTAGAAATGCTAATGCGAGCGAGTGAGTACACAAAAGAATTAAGACTTAAATAAAAAATCAAATGGATTAATAAGATTCAAGGAAATAAATATAGGAAAGCAATTGATTCATCAAACGATCTAAGCAATCAATATTTAAGGTAACAAGAGAGATATGTGTATAGGCCGTAATACGTAATCAAGGATACATACATCATAATAATAATAACACAAAGATATACAAATCGTTAATGTTCGAATAATACTTTGTTAAATAACTTAAAGCAAGAGAAATTAATGAACTTATGATTCATCTTCCAGTTGAAATTAGGCTTCAGTATTCGCTCTTAAGTATATAACATTTTTCTATCCAGATATAAGCCTCAATTTTTCATAAGTTATATCAAAGTAGATTAAAATATAGTTTTCCAAATGAACACCGTGCATCTATTAGACAACCAGTAATGGATTTGAATCATCTTGTGTGTAAGACAGATAAAATCAGTAACAATGAATAGTGGTCGCTTAATATCACTAAAACAACTCTTTGTTTTGAATGCTAAGCCATGAAGCCTGAACATTTCGGTTTCGATTCTATGTTAGATATTTGGTGAGCACTGTTGAGAAGGCTCATAGTAGGACGAAACAATTGTTCAGTGCTTTCCGGTTTTAATTCGTTAGTCTAACTAAAGTAAGTTCATGAAATCAAACTTCATATGATATATTTAATTGGTTTATTTGTTCTCAGTGCATTTTAATTTAAAAATCATCTCAGAGTACACAATTAACATCATTTTGTTTCAGAGACTAGAGAATTCAAAGTTAGAAAGAAGTACACTACCTGTAAATGATCAAAATTGAAACAACCAATTATCCCAGTACATTTGCGTTGAAAAAGAGATCAAATTACCTGGAATTCCTTGATCTATTCATTTGTTCAGAGTTTTGTTCAAAGGTAATATCTTTAACTCACTACATATAAACTTATTCAGATTGTGTTCTTATAGGCTGTTAAGTGTAAATGAGCATTTAAAATTTTCTCCTTTGAAAAATTTCTACTTTGTTTTACACTTTTCGATAATGTTTTTAACTCATTGTTTTTAAGTATAACTAATATCTCATATCTGGAACCGAATTTTGATTAGTCTTGGTGAGCATATGTACACTTTTTGAGAAATGCTGTGAAATAACTATCTTATCTCAGGTTTGGTGGAATAAACGGATTGTGGCTATAAGTAGAATCCAGAAGTCGTATTTCATCCTGTTTCGAATTCCCTGTATGTATGTATGTATGTACATTGGAGTGTTGTTGATGCTCACACTGCTATTTAAACCCAGTAACTTATGATTAATGGTGAGGTCACATCGTCTTCCCTATAATAAGAGAAAGGTATTGTTTTCGAGTCTTCAAGGTGATACTAACACTGATATATAGGTACATCCAAATAAAAAGTCCCAAAAAGGATGAAGCTCACTTTTTGAATTTCACTATTATCCATCATCTAACTTAAATAAATAAATAAATTACATTGAACATACAGCTATATAAGCGAACAGACGAGAACAAGGTCAGACAAAGCTTAATCATCAACTGTTATCAAACCGAGAACTTCACTACTATAGAACATATAAACTGTTTCTGTTACTGAGTTTTTGTTCACGTAACTTCTATTTCTCACTAGACAGAAATTCGGTAAACTCTAATAATTGATGATAATTTCGTCACAACTAAAAAAACATTACATAATAAACTTTTAAAATGTCAAAAAAGCTTCATTTTATCAGATGTTTAGATTGTATATAACCTTTAAAGTATTTAAATAATAGCCAAGTGACTAATTTAACCGAAAGGAATTCGATATTTATTGGCTGGTTAATTTGTTTAGTTATTTTTAAGTAAAATAATGCTTATTTGAATATTTGTTAGTGTAATTTTATTAGTTGAGATCGTGAGTTAATTGAAGCTAGACAACCATGGAAGACCTGAAAGCACTGGATGGTAAGGTCGTCCTATTATGGGATTCCTCAGCAGTGCGCACCCACGAACCCAAGACCTACTGGTCTCACACTCGTACTCTTAATCTATAGACCATTGAGCCGTCCGGTATCCAGCGGTGTTAATGTCTGTCTTCAACTAATCTACGACATTGAGCGATATATCCATGATTGTCTTCAATGAGTTACTATTTCACAACAGATTCGGTTGAACTTCACTGGTCACTGCTTCTCACTAGAACTCTAGGAAATACATCTTGAAGCCAGTTACTAGTGAGCATATGTTAATTAGTACCAGAAGGAGTTTTGTGGATATTGTAGTAATTTTAATAGTTCAGATCATGAGTTAATTGAAGATAGACAACCATAGTAGTAGTAGTACTGAGTAGTAGCAGTACTACTTCGTAGTCTTTCTGATCACCGTACAGCTGTCTTCTTTGGTGCTGTTCGTGAGTCACACTAATAATGATCTCGAAACCATCTTTGCAGTTGACTGGCATTTACGCGCTTCTGATTGTCTTCTCTCCGGATCGTGTAGACTGAGCCACGTCTCTCCATGATAACGTACGGTCCTTCCCCCTGCTATGTTACTTTTCCGTTCTCTTCACTTTACTAGGTCATCCACTGCAAAAGGTCTCCACGTTCTTCTCTACTGTTGTGCCTTCTTTATGACTAATATTTGTTTCTTTTCCACGTTCCCTACTGCTTCCCTCCTCTCTTTTCTTAGCCTTGTTGTCGTCCACTTCTGTTGTTGTGGTCAGGTCTTATTATGCATTGGAAGTAGTGTCTCTCTGCCATACATCAGCAAGAAAGGTGACTTCTTGGTTGTTTCTTGTATGGAGGAACGCTGCACAGTATTAATACCTTTTCATTTCCTATTGACTTCTTAGACTGAACGTTTAATTTAAAATATCCGTATTCTGAAAATTATACATCTAACAGGGTAATCGTAAAAATGTGTTTCGTCGCATTTGGTACTCATCGACTAGATCCATTTGGATACTGGCGTGTTGGTTGGCTCTCTGGGTATTTGAAGTGAAAGGCATTGGATTCAAGTCTAAGAGTGGATATCAACAATCGGACGCAGGTAAGTCTAAGCAACAAGTATTAAAACGGATGGAACCTGTGTCATGGTTTCCTCCGCTAGCTAAATATCAAATCTAATTAAACCTCTAACATAATTCTATTTCGATACAATCCTATCAGGGTGCATATATATTCACAGAGTCGAACCAATTTCAGTTCTGAATATCGATGATAAGAAATAAACCTTTACTAATTACTACACATCGCCCAATCTGAATGTTCTCCGCTGATGAATATATGTATATGTAGATAATTTAGTGTGACTAATGTCCAGTTGAAATAAATCAACTTGTTCATAATAAGCAAAGATGGATAATAGCAAGCAGTGAAATCCAAGGTACTTGTTTAGTCCTATTTAAGACTCGACGTTTGGTAATATCTGCATCCCAGAGATGATGTTCACTCCAGAACTCACCTAATACCACTCGTTTAAAAACACCACGTTATCTACTTAGCTACTGAGTCCTGATAGCCATTAGTTTGTGTAAACAAACATCATAAAATAAATTTCAACTTATTTATACCAATTTCATCCAAGTATCAAATAATTCAATTAAAAATTATATCAATCGTTGAAATCATGAGCCAAATAAAGTTCGATCACCTTGGAAAACGTAGAAGCACTGAAAGGTCGTCTTGTCCTACTGTGGGTCTCCTCAGTAGTGCGCATCCACTATCCCGCCTCACTAGATTCGAACACAGGACCTATCAGTCTCGCGCGGCGAGCGCTTAACCTCTGGACCACTGATAGGGCATCCAATGGTATTAATGTCTTTTTTTCAACTAATCCTCGAAATTGAGCGACGCAGTGAGTTACTATCTCACAACAGACCCGGTTAAACTCTACTGGTCATGATCTCAACTATTGAAATGACTATAATAACCCTTCTAATACTAAAACGTATTTCATGATAAGTTATTTATTCTTTTTATTGATATTGTTTCAAAAGAAAATATTAGAATTTTACAAAACAAATATCTTTACAAAGGATAATATATTGATTTTTATGTTTAACGGATCATCAATCATTAAATTTGTTTCCAACACACCCTTCTCCCCCCTTCCCCACAAAAAACAAACAAACAAAATATTTTTGTCACTCAATTGATTGAATATTGAATGTAAATACATCTCTTTTTTCCCTTTGAAAATAATTTGTAATACAGAGATGTATGAAAGTTGTTCATGAGTAAAATTACTTTCTTAACATCATAATCAAATTGCGTGTTTATTTATTTATTGAGTTCTAGTTTTGTTTACTTTATTTCTATGAGGTAACAATTAATTAAAACAGTATTGATTTGATTCAATGAAAACAATTGAAGATGGCACAGGTATTCAGTGTTTAACAACGCTTTTACCAGTAACACCTAATATAACTCGTACCCATCAAGAGAAATCAAAAGACAGAATCGAGGAGATCAAAAGTTGTATTTGACGATTGCCAATATATCGGAATTGTCTGATATAGTCTGGCTAACGACTGCAGTAGATGTTGAGCACGGCGTTCCCACACGTGATCTGGTGCGGATGCATGATTGATCGCCTTCAGCTACGTGAGTCCATTAAAACATCTGGTCAGCATCCAATGTCGAAAACTTACAGACCTATTTATTTTGGGGATTTATTTACCGCTACACAATCAATAAATACCTATTTTAGATTGAAATAAATATAGGAAGTTGTCTGAAAAGAATTGAAAATACACTCAGTTTATTAGTTCAAGTGATTTGAGCATAATGAATATTCAAAAAGGTTATTCACATCGAGTGTAGCTTACTAGTATTGTCTTCAACTGTAAATCGTGAAAGGAGTGGCTTCGAATTTAACTAGAAGCATATTTCTACATTCATTGGTTAGGCTGGAAAAATTTGATGATCATGATCACTGTAAGACAAGTAAAATGTTATATTCAGTATCTTAAGAGATGTACGCTTATTATCTGCTATCCACAAATTTGTGATGACCTATTATTTAACTAAGAGTGTAGATTTCATAACATGTTTTCAGAATAACATTTACAAACGAGTTTTTCCATTCTTCCTTTGTTCTACCTTCCTTTAGTACAAGAATGCCACTAGTGTGGAATTTACAAGTACATTGAATCATATTTATTGGATTTAAATAAAGATCTGTTAGTATATACTGAAACTAGTTGAGATGCCAAAACGAATTCTTTAAATACTTGCCAATTTTATCTGTTTGATATTTAAAACAATTAGTACCTTTAATATCAGATAGGTTTTTTGGATATTATAGTAATTTCAATGGTTTAGATCATGAGTCAGTTGAAGCTAGAACGCCATGGAAAACCTAGAAGTACTGGACGACCGTTTCGTCCTATTGTGGAACTCCTCAGCAGTGCGCACCCACGACCTTTGATAAACTTCGATAATGCAATGAGCAGATGAAGTTTATCAGAATTATGTGATATATTTGCGCAATACATTTCGAACAATCTGGTCACACATATACTTGTTAAGAACATTTATATATGAAAAATTAAAAGATCAACTATACAGGTTAAGGGTAAGTCATAACAAAGGAAAAATATTTAAGTACACAAAAAACAAATGTGATTACCACTCTGGATAATAAATAATATTACCAGGGTAGGTTAAGTGTAAGGACAAATTGTTTTTGAACACATAAAGGGGGTTTCAATTTCCGTATAGCCAGGGCTTCAACAAACCTTAGCACACGTCTCTGAAAGCTATTGTATAACACTACAAATGCTGATTTGATGTCAACCTTATGACCAGTCTCGATTGAATGTTTCGCAATGGAGGATGATGTCTGTCTATCCTGTGATCTTATTTGACCATTGGAATTCATCTGATTCTGCAAACATTTTGGTATGTGTTCACCCATCCTTAATTGTAAATCACGATTGCTCTTCCCTATGTACATGTTTCCGCACATACATGTAAGTTGATAAACACAGTGGGATGTCAAACAATTGCTTTCGTGTTGTTTGGGCTTTTGGTGAAACATAGACCTTGTCTTTTCGATAATGACAAGTTGAGCTGCATAAAATGTCCGGTTGATAGCTAATTTAAGTCTCCGTTTCAACATGAGACTATTTATGTCGCCTCTGAAAGGTAGCGTAATATATTTCCTGAAATTATATTTTTTTCTCAAATGAATGCACTTTTTAAATGGTTTCAAACTTACCGTTACCTTTTGTTCAACTAAACAGAACATCCTTATTCTGGTAAAAGAAAAAAACATTTTGTTATTTAGACTATATCTCTGCCAGACATTGTATGTGCAAATTGTACATGATATCATTTCAATGATTATAATTAAAATGATTCTAACGTTTAAAGTGTAAAACTCGTCAGAATTTAGTTCCTTGAAGTAGTTCAAATCAAGTTTGCAGGGTGAACTGTAAGAATTATTAGTTAACTTATCAATTGATAAGATTGTATCACATATAATTTATACATTTAGTGTTTTCTGTATAGTTACTGGATTGGAATGTACTGTTCACAATCAATCAATTTAAGATATAGCTCGATAGTTATCCAATTACATTGACAACAATTATTTCACTCTCGATACATCTGAACTCCGCTGGGTACAACGTTTCACTACGACTTCAGGAATATTTTAAAGTCACGATTCAATGACTGATCTTAGTTAGGTAACCACTGAAAACCAGAGAGCACCGAATGACTGTTTTATCTTAGTATTTAACTTCTTGGCACTGTGCATTCACACCAGAACTTTAGGTCTCGTGACAGGTGGTTGACTTTCAGACTATTTAGTTGCATCAAATAGTTCTCATTTCCCACTTCATTCATTGCAAAATGTTGTACAATCATATTTTAATGTTGTTGATGAGTAATTTTCTCACACACGGGCTGTCTGCGTTCCACTGATCATGGTTTTTTAGTGGATTACCAGAAACCAAAATTAGGAACCAGTTATTTTCGCAGGTTGCATAACTGAATCACTCTGTGATATGAACCATGTAACGGACATTATGTTGTTTCATACTTATTCCCATGAAATATAAATTCACTGACGCTAATTTTTATACCAATTGAGAGGTTATGCCAATGGCTTCATTCCTAATAGTACTAATTTCGACACTAGAAATAAACATAAATGATTAGAATTTCCTTCGTCGTATACAATTCTTACTGACTTAATCAATATATTAAATTAAATATCACAGGTCACAACGATTTACAAGCTTAACTCCGTTCATAACCATAGCATTTTACTACTAAGCTGAACAATGAAATGATAATGAATGTTTGGTAAAATGTAAAGCAAGGATTAATGAACTTAACAATTATCTGGTAAGACTATAATTGATGGACAAACTAATCAGATATAAGATAACAGGTCTTAGATTTTGGTGTGAAACACAGTCATTCATTTGATCAAATAGAATTTTGGCATTTTGGCTGATATCAGTTCGTGATGAAAACCTTAAATTTAATTCCTAATCCTAACCATTAACTTTAAATCATAATTCTCATTGCTCACACTACTTCATAACCCTCATTTAGCCCTAATAAGTAGGTGGATATTCTCAAGGTCACTAAGGCGTCGCTCAAAGGTCGTTCATAAATTATAATCTTGCCACTTTTCAAGTTGAATACTTCGACGTTTCTTGACTTGTCCACATGCAATGGAATGCGTGATATTACAACAACAAAAAACAACTAAAAACTGACTTACTTCAATTACTATATCTTAATACTATGCATATACTGTTATCAAATATATGCCAGCTAAATTAAATATTAAGCATTCTTCACTGACCAATGATAATGAATGTTTGTTATACAACAAGATATTTCTTTAAATTTAATAGTTAGACTGGAGAGGAAAACTGGTATGACCTTCAATCGTCTAAGTACCCGCTTAAGAGGATCACTAAGCTATTAACATTTATTAATTACGACTACCATTTATAGATATCAGATCAATTATTTTCATTTTAATCGATAACTCAATTTACCTACAATAATGACGGCAAAATCTGTAATCCTATTGACTCAACGAACTTTTTCGATATCTTATATCCAGTCCTAAGACAAAGACAGTAGACCTATAAAGCTTCTAATATGACGGCTTAAAGGCTTACAAGATTGTAGGATTACAACAAATCCTAATTTGTATACAATCAAGTCATAAATGAAATAAAAACTGACTAATAGATGCATAATTGATTAATGAGAACTCATGGTTGATGAAATATGTGTCTAACGTCTAATAGGTTTTATGGAAGCTATATATAATAAAGCATGCACCTGGTTTCGTGTTGGACTCAATGTACCATGGCTTAGTGGTATTTACCCTAAGCTTCATCGATTGTATGAAGTATGCATCTGGCTCCGTGCTGTACTGCATGTACCCTGATTCGGTGGTATTTGCCTTAGGTTTCAGCGGTCATTATTCAATTATAATTATTACAACATGGAAATATCATCAAGTACTTACTAACTTACTTACGCCTGTTACTCCTCGTGAAGGAGCATTAGCCGCTCACCAGCATTCTCCATCCAACCCTGTCCTGGACAATCCTTTCCAGCTCCTTCCAGTTGTTATTTATCCTTTTCATATCTGATTCTATTTCCCGACGTAATGTGTTCTTTTGCCTTCCTCTTTTCCATTTCCTTACAGGATTCCGAGTTAGGGCTTGCCTCGTGATGCAGTTTGGTGGTTTCAGTAATGTATTTCATATCCATTTCCATCGTCTTTTCCTAATTTCCTCCTCAGCCAGAAGTTGGTTTGTTCTCTCCCATAATAGGCTGTTGCTGATGGTATCCGGTCAATGGATGTTGAGTATCTTGCGTAGACAAATATTTATAAATACTTGTACCTTCTTGATCATCAAGTAAATACTTTATAATTATACAACAAAACGATGTAAACAGAGATGAATGGTGGCTAACAGTGGAACAGCTAGGATATTAATTTGTTGATTCCAGTCCTAAACATTGACGAGAACATTCAAAACTACCAAAATAGTT